CACTTGAGTAATACTCAAACATGTTACTTGAAGCTTCTTTGGCTGAACAAATCATAAAACAGATCATGTCTTCTGTACAATAAGTAAAACACTTAAGAATATTAAGCAATTTAATTGTTTTTTTTTTTATTGTGGTCCAGAAAAAAAAGGCAGTTCTAGTATAAAAATTTTTCCCACTAATAAAAATAGTGCTTTAAGGCTAAAACTTTGAGGTTCTAAACAGAATCTTGTCAACATCTTTGTAATATATATAAAAGTCAAAGCCATAGTTTACTAAAATATTGTGGCAACTCAAACTTGCACAATTAAAGTAAATACAGTGCCACGTGATCTGATTTCCCAAAGCCTGGAATTTTGACCTTTACTGAAGTCATCCCAATTCAAATGCTATAAATAAGTACTTTAGCTGAACAAAATATTAAACTCAATTCTCACAGTTTGTATATTCTATACACATATTTAGCATAAGCTTATCTATTCAACAAATACATATTGTGCCTATCAGGCTAGGACCCTTACCAGGCAATGAAGATATGAAGATGACCAAGACCAACACAGTGCCTCTCCTTAAAGGGCTAAGACAAGTAAAGAAGACAAACAATGAACAAATAATTACAAAGAAGTCATTATCTGAAAGTTAGAGAGATATTTTAACAAATCTATGGAGTCAGGGAAGGCCTTCTGAAGTTCAGAGCCAGTATCTTTGCCATAAAAATCTTCAAGGCTATTGTAAAAGAACTGTATCTCTATAAGTTACTGCTGTTCACTTCCATCAGTTAAATTATTCTTACAACAGATACAGGTTAATATATATGTCAGGTTTATGCTTAGCAGCATATTATACTTAAAAGAGGCTTTATAAATCAGAAGTTCTTAGCTATAGTTTTAAACATCAAAATGAATGGGCTGAGCGTAGTGGCTCATGACTGTAATCCCAGCACTATGGGAGGCTGAAGCAGGTGGATCACTTGAGGTCAGAAGTTCAAGACCAGCTTGGCCAACATAGTGAAACCCTGTCTCTATTAAAAATACTAGAAAATTAGCCAGGTGTGGTGGCAGGTACCTGTAATCCTAGCTACTCAGGAGACTGAGGCAGAAGAATCGCTTGAACCTCGTAGGGGGAGGTTGCAGTGAGCCAAGGTAATGTCACTGTACTCCAGCCTGGGTGATAGAGCAACACTCCATCTCAAAATAATAATAAGAATAATAAATGAAGTGGCAGCATAGGTTTAAAATAAAACTTCTTTTTCCTTTTCAAGAAAAGTCATGCTCTGTGTCCCAGGCTGGAATGGAGTGGCATGATAACAGACCATCATAGCCTTGAATTCCTGGGCTCATGTGGTCCTCCTGTCTCAGCTCCCTGAGTAGCTGGGACTACAGGCACATGCGACTAAAACCATATTTCTGAAAAATGGCAGATTGACCCCATGATTCTTTTTCAACATCTTCTTCCCTTAAACTCATTAAATTCACAGTAAAGAAATATAAAAAGGTCAAAAATACAAAGGAGGTAAGAAAAAGAAGGGGAGACTAAAACATTCAAGATGATTAATTTCTAAAAATTTTTATAAAATTGAAGAAATGAAGGAGTGATAAATGAGTTAAGAGAACAGAAGCACTACCTGCGTACTGCAGAGAAGACCAAATAGAAGTAAGGTATTAATATTTGCTGTAGAGAATCCCAAAATGGACAAGGCCTTGGGAACTAATGAGCTACAGAGTCAAATAAGTAGTGGGGCTAAAAGCAGAGGATTAGATAACAATACCTAAGTATATCATTAGATAGCAACATACATGCTCTTAACACATATGTGCACATGTGCCTGCCTCCAGAAGACTACTGCGCCTCCTATCTCTCCTATTTTTTGTAGAAGTTCAACAGCATCAGAGACAAAGAGCTATAAAATATTGACATTTGGATGCTACGCTAATAAAAAGCCCAGATCGCCAAATGAAAGGCCATGTTAAGGACAAAGACCTTCTGAGAAGTTCTCAAATAATAGGTAACAACCACAGATATGTGAGGAAAACCTCCAAAATGAAAGCGAGAGCTTATAAAATCAAACAGAAATAAAAAAGAACCTGGAAGAAGTAAAGCAATGCACAGAGAAAGCAAAACAAAGTTATAATTTATATCCTTAGAAGACAAAACAAAGTTATAATTTATATCCTTACAGCAAAAAGAGAAAATATAGCAGGCATGAAGCAAAATAGAATGCTGTAACTCATGAATATCAGAGAACACAAAATCACTCACTGAATTAAAAAGTAGAATAGCAGAAATAAAAAATTCAGTAGGAAGGCTGGAAGATAAAGTCCAGGATATCTCTTATAAAAACAAATAGACAAAAATATATTTCAAATATATTTCAGTTTTGAAAGCTGAAACATGGTAATGGCTAGAATTAGATTAGAGGCCGGGTATGGTGGCTCACGCCTATAATCCCAGCACTTTGGGAAGGTGAGGCAGGTGGATCATGTGGTCAAGAGATTGAGACCATCCTGGTCAACATAGTGAAACCCCCATCTCTACTAAAAATACAAAAATTAGCTGGGCATGGTGGCATGCACCTATAGTCCCAGCTACTCGGGAGGCTGAGGCAGGAGAATTGCCTGAACCCAGGAGGCAGAAGTTGCAGTGAGCCAAGATCATGCCATTGCACTCCAGCTTGGGTAACAAGAGTGAAACTCCATCTCAAAACAAACAAACAACAACAAAAAAGAATTAGATTAGGATCTGTCAGGAAATTTAACTTCAAACAAACAGCAGTTTCAGAAAAACAGAAGAGAAAGAGGGTAAAGAAAATAATCATTAAAGAAATAATACAAGAAAATTACCCAGAACTTTTAGACACAGATTTCCATTTTGAAAGGCCCCTTAAGAACCTAGCACATTCAATGAAAAAATACCCACACCAAAGCTCATTACTGGAAAAATTTCAAGCAACAGGGATAAAGATAAGATCATAAAAGCTTTCAGAGAGGGAAATACAAGAGGTATGACCATCAGAACGCAGGACTAGAGGCTAGAGAAGGGTAAGACACAGGACTTTAGCATTATTTGAATTCTAAAACAATGAACAGAAATTTTATTTTCTTTCTTTTTTTTTTTGAGACAGAATCTTGCTCTGTCTCCAGGGCTGGACCACAGTGGCACGATCATCGCTCAACCACACTGCAACCTCCACCTACCAGGTTCAAGCGATTCTCCTGCCTCAGCCTCCCCAGTAGCTGGGATTACAGGTGAGCGCCACCACCAGGCTAATTTTTGTATTTTTAGTAGAGACGGGGGTTTTACCATGTTGGTCAGGCTGGTCCTGAACTCCCACCTCATGATCCGCCCTCCTCAGCCTCCCAGAAGTGCTGGGATTATAGGCATGAGCCACCAAGCCCAGTCAATGGACAGAAATTTTCATAAACACTAAACAATAATAATGTAAGTGCACAAAAGTGGACAATAATGAATAAAAAATTTATTGAATGTTCTCTAGTAATACCATTTTTAAAAATATACTGGGTTAACTCATTTAACTTTCATAACACCCTAGGAGACTATTAGCCTCATTTCACAGGTGAGGAAACGGACATGGACAGGTTAAGCAATTTCTCCATAATGACACAAGTAGCAAGTGGTGGAGCCACAGTTCTAGCTTTCTGAACATGGTCTTTTTAAAAACTGTGCGATACCATCTCTCAACCGTAAAAGTAAAATTAATTTTAAGAAAGAAAAGCAAATACTACCTGAATTCCCTACCTTGCTGATCTGTTCCTAGATCAACTATGGGTAATTAAAAGTTCTGTCATGAATAATTCTAACACTATGCTCTTTGCCAAGCCACAAAAGTGTATGTGTATGTGTGTAGGGAGCGGAGGTGGAGGTTGAGGGTATTTCCTAGTATTTTAAATATACATGTATAAAAGTACTTTATGTTATGTGCTTGTGATCTGCTGCCACATAGTCCATAAAGTAGATTCTGTAACCTAATTGCATTGACAACCCCCACCAAAGGAACTGATGTACTTGTATCAGATCACCACTGTGTATTAAGAACAAAGGCTATGTAAATTTTATTAAGTTAAAAACAGCATAGGTGCCTGTTTTCTAAATTATTTTCATCTAAGTCTTTCACTCTCTTTGAGTCTTGCAAGGAAAATTTCCCCAATTTTCCTAGTCATTTGCATGACTATTAAATATACTGAGGTGACAAAAAAAATCACGCTCCTTTACTCACTCTTGCCTTTCACATATCTTTACCTTATATTATTAACTACATAATGACAGATGACTGTTTTCATGTGACTTTCTTCTGTCGGAGTTAGCATCATTCACAACCTCCTACATTTGCTGTCCTATCCATTCTGTATTTTATTGTATCTACTAACGGGATTCTGGATTTAGTCAGAGAAGGAAAAAGAGATAAATACATATGCTCTTTTTGAATAATTTTTTTTTTCTTTTCCTATCTGGTAACATCATTCCTTGTGTATGATAAGGAGATTAGTATGCAGGTTTAGCATTTCCTCTGTTGGGACTAATAAATTCCCAGATGCTAATATAGTGGTTTTTGAGATCTCAGACCCCTGCTTCGAAACTCATCCTAAAGCACCAGACATTTGTTGTCACTCTGCACAGTCTAGGGGTTTCTTTTTCCCAAATCTACAGCGGTCCACTTTCTGCCTGTCACGGCCTTCATTTCTAAATCTTTTCTTTTTTTTTTTTTTTTTTTAACAGGGGAGGGGTGTTGGTTTTGGGTTTGGATTGATACTTGGTAGCTGCAGCCACCTTGATGGTCCTGATGCATCAGTGACAGCATCACTTGTCTTCCCAGCACGTGGGTGATCGGCTCCCAGGCAATTCGGCCTAGAAGGTGTCAGCCTAGCTCACGGGGGGTTTCCCCACCCGCGGCCACAGCGCTCGCACAGTCCCCGCAGCCTCCAGGGTCCTGCGCACCCGGCAGAAAGGTCACAGCCCCGCGCAGGTGGGACGCGCGCCCGCTTACCGTTTCCTTGGCAGCCGCCACCGGGATGGGGAGCAGCCCCCGGCCACGGGGCGCGTCCTCGGGCTCCGCGGCCGCGCTCTCCGAGGGCCGCCCGGTCGCCGGCGAGCAGGCCCTGGGGTCCCCATACAGCTGGTAACACACGAGACCGACCAGCCCCCCGCCGGCCGCAGCCGCCGCGCTCAGCTCTCCCCAGCGCCGCCGTCGCCTCCAAGCCGCCTCCGCCACTGCCCTCTCCTCATCCTCCCGGCAGGAAAAGGGCCGGCCAGGAAGGCCTGGGGTGTTCCCTGCAGGCCGCCCCCACGGCCCAAGAAGGGGCTGGTGAGAGCAGAGCGGAGGCGGCAGCCGGGGCGGCGGCCATAGGAGCCTTCGCAGTGCAGCCATAGCGGAGGCCGCCCTCTCCGGAGCTGGGAGGAGGCGAAGGACAGACGAGCAGGGGAGGAGGGGGGCGCCGAAGCCTCGCGAGAAGTCGGTGCCGAGAGCTAGGCTGCTGGCCGAGAGCGACGCCTACAGTCGCGCGGCCCGGGGGATTCGCGACGCCACTTTAGCACGGGAGATTAGGGGCTCGGCCCGGGAAGAGCCTGGAAAAGGCGGCGGATCACTGCTGCTCCCGGGCCCCGCAACCCCAGCCGAACCACGTAGTCATAAATAACTGCGCCGGCCTCGGCGACACCGCGGACACAGCCAGGTCAGCGGAACTGAGGCGCCGCCCTGTGCTGGGCTGCCGGGCGCTGCCGCAAGGGGTGGGTCTCCGAGCAGGGGTCAGCGCCCCTCTGGGACACTCACATCCTCTAATGATCTCCTGATCTGACTCAAGGCTGTGAACGATTTGCAATTGTATCTTCACCTACACGACAAAAATGAGGTATAAGCGTTTGGCTCAAGTCATAACGATTGCAAATTAAGGCAAACATTTTGACGACTCAAGGGCAGCTTCTGGACTTTTGATGGGAGAAGGCTAATGCTGTTTTTTAAAAGCATTAGCACACCGGCAGTCACTTAATTCAACAAATCAGAAGTGTCTTCGGCATATAAAATTAAAGATTTTAAACATTCTGTGAATAAAGATAAAATCTTGAACGATATCCTCATTTTTGAGGGAAGGGCTGTTGGTATAAATATAAAGAAATGATAAGCGTATTGTGTCATCTTTTCGTTTTTGCTATACTTTTTTGCTATATTGTATCAGTTTTTTGAGAAAGTGTAGATGAAGTTCCTGTCCGTTTGTCAACCCTGACCCCAGTTTTGGTAACTGAAGAAAATGCTAGCTTTTTTCTTCATACTATGGAATGGTGTCAGGAGCCCCTAAAATATCGTCTATCTAAGGGTATAGACAACTAAATTCAGTGGTCTCAATTGGGCTGCAGTGACAAGAAAAGACAAGATCAGTTGATTCTGGCGATTCTTACAAAGACTAAAGGCTTTCGGAGACGACCAAAATGAGTTTCCTTTCTGGCTCAGGTCCTGCAATTTCTATTAATCACTAACACCTTGCATGTAAGTAGTCCATCAGGTACACCCCATTACCTCTTGTTTTAATAGAGGTTAATGGCATTTTAGTTTCTTAAAACGCTAAAAGTGGTAAAAAGAACAATCTTCTGTAGCAGATGAACAAATTGTGTCTATTTTAAAAGCCATCTCTGGGTTTTCTTCAGTTTCAGACTGTTGGTTTTATGTAATCAATGCTTAAGGAAGACTCAGTAATAGCTTCTTGCTTTATTCACCGATTTTCCTCAATTTATGCCGTGTGTATACTCTGGAGAATTTTAGTGTCCCCAAATTAATTATTTTCTGGATAATAATTATATATAAAATATAAAAAATATAATAGTTCTGACTGTCAGCAAAGTTCCTGGACATTATGTGCAACAGACGGGACAGATATAGTAATCAAAGTGAGGGTGTTTCTGGTCTGGAAGTTAGGTAGTTAAATACATACAACTGCTGGCTTGGTTACAAGTGAAGGATCTAAGAACAAAACGGGAAGTGTGGCCAGTCAAGTCACTGACGTTTGGCCATGGATGATGCTGCATTTTCCTCTGAGGACCAAAAGAATGGACGAAGCCTTGGGGGAAGCCTATTGCTTGAAGGCTCTAGTCCATCCGATACTGCCAAATAATAAGTAACAGGATAACTTTAGTGCTAGAATCTCTAAATCACAAAGTTTGTTCTTGAATCAAGCCTTCTCTATGATTATACTTTGTTCCCTCCCCTTTTCTTCTTTTTAGAGACAGGGCCTTGCTTTGTCACCCAGGGGCTGGAGTGTAATTGCATGATCATAGCTCACTGCAGCCTCAAACTCCTGGTGAAAGTAATCATCCCATCTCAGCTTCCTGAGTATCTGGGAGTACAGACAGGTACCACCACTCCAGCTAATTTTATTTTTTATTTTTGTAGAGACAGGTTCTCACTATGTTGCTCTGGCTGGTCTTGAACTCCTGGCCTCAAATTATTCTCCTGCCTTGGCCTGGGATTGCTGAGAGTGTCTCACTGATTCCTGTTGTTTAAGTCCCAAATCTCCCGTGTCTTTGTTTTCCATTTGGTAGTAGTGACTTCGGAGACAGGGAATAGCAGGTCGGACTTACTACCAGCAAAGCCTCCCACCTGAAAACAAGGAAGCTCTTTCTCAATTCTCATTTCCTATTTTCATGTCTGATAGCAATGAAAGTTTCTATGCCCATCAGAAGGCGTCTTCTGGTACAGAATAACCTCATAGTGACATAACGATCACCCTTTACACAAGCATGACACTTTGGTAGCAAAATGTTACAGATCTTTGGGGTGTTGTTTTCCTGGCCAGAAACGTTTGTGGCCAGTGATGCCTTCCCCTGCATTTTGTTTGGGCCCACTGGGCTTGTTCTGCCTTCTTGGCCTGGCAGGCTGTGCTGAACTCACACTACCAACCTGGATTCCATGCCTCCCAGGGAGACTGAGTCAGGTGTGGAGTGGAGTGGCATGGGGTGTGTGTGACTGCACATAGTCAGACACATTGGCTGCTGCCGAAGGGTGGGCAGCTCCAAGTGCCCACATGGGCACCACTTCTCTGCGAAGCTGTGGCTGGACCAGGCACACCACAAGCAGCTTCCCAAGTTGGCAACGGGGAATGCCATGGTGCCTAGAAACTTGAAGACACCAGGAATTATAGGTCCCCAAAAAGGGAGTCATGGCCCTGGCTCGGGGAACCCCAGGTCTGGTCTCCCCAATACACTGCAGCTCTACACGCCTTCTCTTCACCTGCAACATGGCAAGGGGCATGTTTTATACTTGGTGTTAGCCACTATTCAGTGGGTCCTGAGTTTTTATCCTGCAACCAGGAGGAATGAGGTATGCAGACATGTGGAGGGTGAGCAAGATGAAGAGCTTTCTTGAGCAATAGAACAGCTCAGAGGAGATCCACACTGGGTAGCTCCTCTCCTAGGCAGGATGTCCCAGTCAGTGTTCAGCTATCAGCAGAGAGGATAGCTTCTCTCTGCAGCTGGTCATCCCATTGTCTGCCCTGCTCTGGCTGAGCCCCAGGCTTTTATGGGCCTTAGAGGGGAAGAAGTTGACACGAATTGGTCTATTGGCGGCCATGGGTGGCCTGAAAAAGGCACCAGAAGTACCCAGTCTGGTCCACAGGACTGGCAGCCTGGTCCCCAGCCTTTAGGCCCTCCCATTACACCCAGGAGCCTGTCTGCCTCCTGCCTAGCTGTCCATGGTGCCCAGGCTGCTTGTAGCAAGGGCCAACCTCAGCACACCCTCGCCTTCCCCCAAGCTTGTTGGTGCCCAAAGTCTAGAGCGGGCTGAGGCGCCAGGGAGCTGGCATGTCAGTGCTGCCCCAAGCATGCACACACCCAGCTGGACTGTGACGGTGCCCAGGTGTGTCCCCAACCTTGCTCTGAGATTGGATAGGACGCTGGGAGCAGAGAGAGGCCAGGCAGTAGGAGCAGACACCCCCGAGCCTGCCAGGGCAGTGGGGGCATTCCTGAGCCCCGTAGGTGCAGAGTGCAGAGATGCCCGGGCTCTGTGCCTGGGAGGATGGGGCTCCTACCAGCTCCTCATAGGCTAGGGTAGGAGCTCCAGGTCCTTGCTGATCCCCTCTCTGCCTGCTCCTCCGTGCCTGACCAGCTGATCCCCCACCGGCAGGCGGTTGGGCCCAGCCCTGTCACGATGGCCCTGAGGGTGGCAGGTTCTAGGGGTGCTCCTGCTTGTCCCTGGTTCCCTTTGGCTCTGTGGAGGGCAGCACTGCTCCCGGCTCAGCTCCACCTCCTCCCCAAACCCTCCCCCCAGTGGTGGTATGCGAGAGAGCGGGAGACAGCAATGACAGGGGGCGAGGGACCAGAGTGGCAGAGGCTCCAGGCTTGGGGGCCAGTCCGGCCCGGCTGCATGAGTATCTGAGCAGGGCAGTCAGCTGCCTGGGGGATGAAGGGCACAGGCGACCCACCTCCACCATTGCTGCTCCCGCAGCTGCTCCAGCTGCCACCACCTGCACCTCCCTGCTGCAGCCAGCTCAATGGCAGTGGCCGCTCTGGACAGCCTGCTGCTGCCATCAAAAATGTATAATATTTGTAAAACTATTAACAGTGTCTGCTAGAGCTGGACATATGCATGTCCTATGACCCACCAATTTCACTTTTTAGATGAAATACTCATGAAAAGAAATTAGTCTTTATGTCCATCAAAAGACGTATAGAGGAGCATTCATGGTAGTACCATTTCTAATTGGCAACAAATAGAAACTATTCGTATGTTCATCAACAGTGGCCTGGATTATTAAAAAATGTGGCATATTCACATATCAAATGATATAAGGCAATGAAAATTACTGAATTACAATTACATACAATCACTTGGATAAATTTTAAAGCAAAAGTGAGTCAAATAAGGCAGACACAAAAGAACCAACTGTATTATTCTATTTGAAAAGCTCAACAACAACAAATAGATATAAATAATGTTAGAGATCAGGATAGTGGTTTCCCTCGGTGCAGGGGAGTGGTTAGAAGGGAGAAAAGGAGCTTTGGGAGTTCCATGTATGGGTGCCAATGTCACGTGTATTACTCTATAAAAATTCATAGAACTGTCCACTTAAAATTTGCATAACCTGGCCAGGCGCGGTGGTTCACGCCTGTAATCCCAGCACTTTGGGAGGCCGAGGCGGGTGGATCACGAGGTCAAGAGATCGAGACCATCCTGGTCAACATGGTGAAACCCCGTCTCTACTAAAAATACAAAAAATCAGCTGGGCCTGGTGGCACGTGCCTGTAATCCCAGCTACTCAGGAGGCTGAGGCAGGAGAATTGCCTGAACCCAGGAGGCGGAGGTTGCGGTGAGCCGAGATCGCGCCATTGCACTCCAGCCTGGGTGACAAGAGCGAAACTCCATCTCAAAAAAAAAAAAAAAAATTTTGTATAACCTTTTTATATATGTAACACTTCAATAGAAAGTTTATATAAGAGAAAAAA